CCTGATTGGGACTAATTTGGTCCCAGTCGGGGAACACTTTTTGGTCCAACTTTCTCCGAATTGAAATCCGATTGCACCGTTGCGATCAGACAGTTAAACTCTATCTAACGATATAATTTTTATATTTATTCGTTATACTTTTTCCGACATCATATTTTTGGGTGGTTGACTTTGACAGAGTCAAAATTGGTTTAATTGACCTTTATTCAAAAAGGTTCTCATATTTAATTCATATTATTTATTTCCATGATTTATTTCAATAAATCATTTCAAAGTTCACATTATAAACAATTTCTTCATTTATTCTTAATTTGGGTCTGTACTCAGGTTCCCAATCAAGATCACACACTAAATCAACATGTTGGATTTATCTGTATGAGATTTATCCGAATTATGTTTATTGGATATCAATATATATTTTATTTCAGCCCAAAGCCCAACAACAATTTATTTTAATCAAAACAAATTTTGTTTAATTGAATATTTAATTCAATAAATTTTAGGGTATATTTTGGGGCGTTTAAGATAGACCGTAAGTCTTAAACTTAAGCTAGACCTAGTTTAAGATACAAATAATCAAAAAGAGGTTTTCAAAATCTTAAACTTACCTTCGCTTAAGGTCATCTGGAAACCGAACAACGAAATGCTCACTGTCGGGTTGGGTGGTATCCCCAAACGAGTTCCTCTAGTTTGGTTTGTAGATCCCGTACGTACATTTTAACCCAGGCCACCGAATATTTATAATTATATCCAAATCATTTCATAATCATCAACATATTCATTTCAATTCATAATTTAATCCTCAATAACCATTTTAATCAGTGGTTTCATCAAGTCATAATCATCATAATAATCATTTATCATAATCATCAATCAACATATCATTCGATAGCAAATAGCGGCCTAGCTTCGAGTGTTAACACCCTAGCTTACCGTCATGCATCACGTAAAGTCCTTTTTATTGTCAAAATACCATTTTTATTCCAAGAAATCATCTTTATATTAGTAATAATTGATTGGTATGAAAATAAGATTTTAGAGCTCAAAAATAGCATTTTTCGTAGTTGACAGTGTTCGGAACAGTTGACCGTTTTCAGGTGACGGTCGACTGTTATTGTAGCAGTGGTATGGGAGCTTCTGGTCTCAGAACGGTCGACCTTTTGTCCGAACGGTTGACCTTTCATGCAAACCAGCCAACATTGCTTCATCTTCAACCTCGGGTCAGATTTTCGAAAAATCATTTTTAGCCACCAAACTTCAATTAAACTATATAGAAATATTCTCCAATGTTCATAGATCATTTAAATACCATTAATTCGAAGTTTTAACAACAATTTTAAGGTTTATGAATCCTGATTCTTCAAGCATGTCAAACACAAAACTCAACCAAACGACCGTTTATGAACGTAGATGCGATCTATATGAACATTCTAGTCACTAGATATATCTACGGACTTACCTCGAAGCTTAACGAAGGTTTTGAAAATTTTCCGGTGAAACTTACGGCGACGATAACTCTTAGCTCTGGCGATTCCACACCAAATTGACAGCACTACAACACTCCTTACACTCAAGGCTAACTTTTAAAAGAAATTTGAGAGAGAATGGTGAAGAAATGAGGAAATTGGCTTCCTTATGTAATGGAGAGAAGAAGAAGAAGAAGCCAAGAATGTTTCCTTCACAAATCCTACGATCGGCGTAGTGGGGAAGGAGGCGCTGTCTAAACAGTTCCCTGATTGGGACTAATTTTGGTTCCAGTCGGGGTACACTTTTTGGTCCAACTTTTCATAATTATTTGTAATACTTCTTCTGACATCATATTTTTGGATGGTTGACTTTGACAGAGTAAAAATTGATTCAGTTGACTTTTATTCAAAAAGATTCTCATATTTAATTCATATTAATTATTATCATGATTTATTTCAATAAATCATTTTAAAGTCCACTACATAACTAATTTCTTTATTTATTCTTGATTTGGGTCTATACTCAGGTTCCCAATCAAGACCACACAAATACTCAACATATTGGATTTATCTCTATGAGATTTATCCAGATTGTGATATTGGATATCAGAACATATTTCTTATTGGCCCAAATCTCAACAACAGTTTATTTTAAACAAAACAAATTTGATGAATTGAATAATTATTCATTAATAATTCTAGGGTATATTTTTGGACGTTACAGAATTGATAGTGCAAAAAATAAATTGGAATTGGCAGAATTCAATTCTATGGAATGGAATCCCATGGAATTTCAATTCCAATTCAATTCCAATTGCATCAATTCCGTATACCAAACGGACCCAAAGTAAAAAATGTTTACAAAAAATTTAAAGCAAAATATCCTCCGTATAGGTCGGCAGTGACAGGCTTGCCAGTTTTAAAATTGAAAACTTAGTTGATGTCCTTAAAAATATTTTTAGTAAAATGTGTCATTAAAAACTTATAAGAACATCTCATAAATAATGTATGCTTAAAAATGAAAACTTAACTGAATACATATATACATGTGTGCAAAAAACATAGCTACAACCTAGACCTATTAACTAATTCTAAGCCCATTTGTATACAATATACGCCAACATAACACAAAGCACATAGTATAGTTCTTAAAAATAGGTTCTTTGCATAGAAGACATGTAATTCCAAACATTAGGTTAAACATTTGTAAAATTTGATAACAATACGGGGCATGAGAAACACATTGAGTAGCATACAAAAAATTGATAACAACACGGGGCATGAGAAACACATATTGAGTAGCATACAAAAATTTGATTTATTTATTGGGACAACGAAAAACTTTTACTTGTGAAATGGACATTTCTCAACTCTTGAACTTGATATTTGTGTTCCTCTCAAAAGCCCACCGAAAAGTTCTGTTGGGGCATAATATATCTCAATTTCTTCCACCCTCAAAGATTCATCAACCTGCAGTGAGGATCATAGATATACAAAGAGTATATCCCAGCACTTTAAAATATATAATATAAATACGAAGTATGATGGAAAGACATACATGCCAAATCTGATCATTCAAAACCTTCTAAAGCCGTTACAAACTTGTGAACAATATGATTTTTAAGGAAAGTAATAAATAATACTATGTCATTAGTAACTAGAGACTAATGAGTGTTTATTGTCATGTTTCTAGTGTTGGATTTCTATAAGGAAGAACACTGCGAAGCAGTGTTTAAAGAAGAACTCGATAGTATAACGAATCGCGTACGAAACGCTATCAGATCAAAGTTATTTCGGGGTATACGAAATACTTTAATCGGATAAGACATTAATCAAGAACGAGCACTCAAGAATCCGATTCTCAACCCATACCACGAGACTCTATTTTATAGAGTTGAAAATCCTTGTGATCGGACATGAACGTTCGCGTAGATAGACGCGTACGTTCGCGCGAGGAAGAAGAGAGGTGCGAGTTTGAACGAAAGGTCATATGCGGTTTAAGGCTCAATTTCGACGTTTATCCATTGTGTACGAGTCCTTTACCGTTTTTGGACTCCGGTCATGAAAATCTTAAGGATTTTCTTAAAGAAACAACCCCGGCCAGGGGCTCTGCCCCTTGGACCCGGCTACCCGGGGGCTGCCGCCCTCGGACCCCCGCTATCCCGGAGGCTACCGCCCGCGGACCCCGCAATGAATTTATAATATCGTTGAACGAGCGTGCACTCCGCACCTCCAAACTCGTTTGACAACGTCTATTTAAATGCTTGTCTGATCGAAGTAAATCCAATTACACAAAATGAAATGATGACACTAAAATCACCAACATCTAGTAACCCAAATATTTAATCCTTGTCTTAGGTTTTACCTTGAGACTAGTAAGGAAAACTAGTAACAAGAATTTGGAACCTAGAACTTGGTATTGGAGTCTAAAGTCTTATAAATCAAGTGTGGAGTTGGAGACCAGAGTATAAAGTCTAGAGTTCATTTAACCTAAAGTATTAGTTGAAAATAACATAGCATTATCTATATATAGTTGGAGAAAATCAATAGTAGAAAATAATTCCACTTCCCATAAATGGAGTGAAATAAGAGAAGATATACTTTTAGTGAAATTTGATTACTTTATGTTTTTAATAGTCCTAGAAAACCATTATATCTAACTTTTTCTCAACCAAATAATTTGTCCTTCAAATCTCCATTTATCTTTTAATTTTATTCTCATTTTTTCACATGTCCCTCTTGATATATCTAAATTGAGATGGAATCATTAGTGATCATATAATGAAACTTAGTTAGCATTTGGTTATTGTTGTTAATAGCATTTTTACTTGCATAATACAAAAGGCTTAAGATTGAAGACAATACTCATTTCCCAACCCCTCATTTCTATTTCTCTTCTCCTTCCCAAATAATTCTCTTTGATTTCGTCTCTTTCTATGAGACAAATCAGATTTTTGCTCAATTCTTTTAGCAAAATCTTCTTACTATAACATTGGTATCAAAGCCATATCATGGCCTACCTGCTATTGCTCATTTGCATCACCGATAGAAATTGTTAATGGGAGAAGAAAGTAGAGTTGAAAGCATTCGAAAGTAGATTCATATGAATTTATGAATGAATCAATGCTCAGGATAAAAAAACTGGACTAGTTGATGGTGATTCTAAACTAAATGGAATCGAAAGCTGGTCAAGAGAAGGAAATTGCTTCCTCATCTGAAGTCTTTGCTAGCCCAAAACAACCACTTTTTGCTAGATTCTTACATTTTGGACTCTTTTATTGGTGGATTAAATCCAAGTGTGAAGCTATTTGTTAAAGGATATATACCCTCTGGAATACCACAAGAAGTAGAGAGCCCTAAATACGTTAAACCTAACTATTCTAGCAGCAACAAATTTGTGACAGAGGGAACTAAAGCTTATTTTAATAACTCTGCTTAACTTCCTCTCCTACCTACCCCAACCATTAAAACAGGAAATTTGCAGAAACCTGGGACAAATAATTCCAACAAAAACTACAAGTATATTCCAGCAGATGTGAGAGCTAAAAAGATAGCTAGAGGCCTATGCTACTATTGTGACAAAACCTTTGAAAGGGGCCACAAATGCAGTTTCAAAGAACCTCAAATGTTTACTTTAGAAATACCTTTTGAATGGACTTACCAGGATGAATATGAGGTGAGCAAGGATGCTTACTTGGATAGTGATATGGCTTCCACGTACAAGGGTGAGAAATCTGATGCTTGTATTTCTATGCAAGCACTAACTCGGGGGTGGGGGTGGGGGGTGGGCATAGCTATTAAAGTATGAGAATGGTAGGTTTGGTTGAGAAGAAAGTAAATCATATTCTGATTGATTCAGGAAGTACTCACAACTTTCTGAACTTAGATACTCTTAAAACATTAGGATGCAAGATTGAACCAATGCCGGTACAAGTAGTTGCAGTTGTAGATAAGAGTACTATATCTTTCCAACATGCTTGTGAACAATTCAAATAGCAGATGCAAGGAATTCATTGTAGATGTAATGCTCATTCCTCAGGGAAGCTATAATATGGTCTTATGAGTCCAATGGTTAAAAACTCTACGACTAGTTTACTAGGGCTTTAAAGAAATCAAAATGAGGTTTGATCTGAAGGGAAATCCATATATTTATATTGAAAGGGATGATAAACAAGAGACTGAAGGTGATGGAAAAAACACCAACAACCAAGTTGTTTAGTAATTCCTTCTAGTTCTGCCTTCTACAAGTAACAATAGAGAAGGTGAAAAACAACATTGATGTCATGCAATGTGAAGGACAATAACGGGATAATGATGAGGACAAAGAACTGGAAGTCTTGAAGAATGATTACAATATGGTATTTAAAGGTTTTTGGATCCTGCTATACTGTGTGCTCTTGATGGTACAGATAAGGGAGCATGCTTCCAAAGTGAGTTCGGATCGTTCTTGGAAGAAACCACAAAGTAGCTTCCTTTCACGGGAGTGTTTGGTCCTAGCGTTCTATATATTCCCTTAACCATCCTTAACGAACAAACACAAAGTGTGCAGAACAAAAATAAACCTAATAAACATAGAGTAGAAAGAGCCTTGAGTAATGGGGGTTGGGAGTGTTTGGAACTTTAGCCATATAATTAAGCAGCAATCTGGACAAAATAGAAGTTGCAACAAACAGTCTCCTAAATACTTTGGCCCATTTCAAGTTTCTCACATTCATGTATACATGATATCTTCCATGTATCACAACTCAAGCCATTCAAAGGCACTTTACCTACTCCGAGAGATATTCTTGACAGAAGAATACAAAAGACGCAAAACAAAGCTAAAAAAATTATCTGGTGCATTGAGAAGGATATAGCCCCTTGAAGCCATCGGGAACCTGATGTTGATTTTCAAGCTAAATACCTTGACTTTCCAATCAATAACTAGACTTGAGGACAAGTCTCTTTGAAGGAGGAAGCAATGATATGGCTAAAGTGATGTGGATTCATTAGTGATCATATAATGAATATTAGTTAGCTGTTACTTATTTTTGTTTAGAAGCATATTTACTTGTATAAATACAACACTAGATGTATAAGGAAGGCTCAATATTGTATACAATACTCATTTCCCAATCCCTATCTTCTATTACTCTTATCCTTCCTAAATAAGCCTACCTGACTGCATCTCATTCTCTAAGACAAATTAGATCTACTCAATTCTTTTAGAAAGATCCTCTTCTTGTAACACCTCCCTTACATAATCTCTATTTATTTTACCCTATGGAACATCACCTAGAAATGTGAGTCTTTTTTAACTAATCTCTGTCAAGAAAATGTGATATCATTTTAAAAGTTAGTTAAAATTAGTAGGATTAAATTAAACAAGAAGATGCCAACTTAAAACAAAGGAACAAACAAACATACCTTCATGATTCCAACCCCATAAAATTGAAGCAACTCTCCAGTAGGGGAATGACCTTTGAAAGATCCTTCGAAATAACCCCAATGCCTGAACTTGAAAGCAACCACAGGTGGCCCTGAGTATACAGCATTGACCTCCCACGCAAACCCGCGAGGGAACGCCGATCGAAATGCATCATGAGATGACTCAAAACTCTCCTCCTCTGCCTTGTAGAACTTTAACTGTTCTGGCAATGAAGTCTGCAGCAATGCATTGTAACTCCCAACCTCTAACAATTCTTCAGCTGACAATCCCTCTCTCCCTATAATGTAAGTAGCCAATAAATAATAGTAGTAGTAGTAATAATAATAATATATTAATAACAATAACAATAACAATAACAATAACAATAACAACAATAATAATAGTAATGGTTAAGCAATAATAATTGTTAATAATAATAATAGCAACATTTATGGTAGTATTTGACTATGATCATGCTTCCTTATTAGTATGGTTCATATCTATGTTAGGAATTTCCCCTATATACACACTATTGTATTCTTCATAATTCCTTGAATAATTTGTATATTCCATTATTTCAACATGATGTCAGAGCCTATGGTTCTTCTTCTCTCCACTCTTTAACTATAATAAAAAATTCGGCTAGGGTTCTTGCCGATTTGGATGATAGTAATTATCCAAACTGGTATGCCACCATTCAAGCGAATCTGATGGAACATTGTCTAATGGGTTATGTTGAAAATACGGAGGCACCACCTCTAGCATTAGTTCTTGATGAAAAATCACCGGCGTCAAACAATGATTTTCCTATGGTCATGAATAACGCCTTTGATTGTTAAACCTCGTATTTTGATGTTAACAAACAATATAAGAGCTAAACGTTTGTTTAAGTTTTTCAGGTACAACAAGAATCCATTAAGATTTGGTTCTCAAGAATGAAGCTAAAACACCAAACTAACCAATCTAAATTGGCGTGTCTTTACTTTACGCTTTTATTTCTGCGTTTTATTTATTGCTTCCGCATTTGCCAACACTAATTTATTAAACTCTGAAAAGTTTTTAAACGCTTTATTCACCCCCCTCTAAGGCGTGGGCACACCGACTAACAATGAAGTTCAATCCCGCCTATGAATCATGGTTCATTTTTTATTGTTGATTATTAAACAATAATGATCAAAGTTTTGCAAACCTCGGTATTTTTCTGAGTTTAGTATTTTTATATCAGTTAGTTTTCTAAACCTATTAGGCTAAGCGTCATATATACTCCATTTTACAGTGTGATTAATGTTAGTTCCATTTCATTGGCATTATTTTTTGACTAATAACTAGACTTTTTTAGATTTATTTGCAGTTGTTTTACTATAGAGTTGGAATCATAGCGTGCGTAGAAGAAGAAAAAGGAAAGAGTTTGAAGTCAGAATTATCTTCCTATTTGGTCTATTTTTGGGATGGAGCTTCTAATCCTACTAAGCTAGGGTTTAAGCTTTGCCTATATGCTGGGAGAAAATACAAGAGAAGACATTAATGAGAGAGGTACTACACAAGGAGTATTTTTATTGTCGATTGGAGGTTGTTCAATAAAAAGGGAATAAATAGAGTATTATATTGGACTGTTGCGCTATAGCTACTTGGATAGTTGGTAGAAACTAACCACTTGAATATACTTATTTGATGAGGATTGTCGGCGGTACGTGTGTGATGCCAAAGACATAGAGTGCAACAAAATGAAGCAGTTGCTCTCGACGTTGCTTTAACAGCCCCTGTGCCATATGTAAGTTTATGTACAAGCTAAGGTTCATATTTGTGAAGTTGATTATGGAACTAGGGTAGCGCACACATCCTTGAAGTAAAACTTGAAGAAGGTGTAACTAGTTATGGAAGTTAGACACGAACATAGTTTATTGTTAAGTCATTACATAGTATATTTAGTCAATAAATTAGATGGAATTTGTTGTGATTGAAGGTGTAATATTTACAATGATTTAGTGGAAGAGCTATTACACAGAAGTGGGCCCCACAAATGTATAAGATTTTGCTTCGAATTGCGTAAACAATTCTAGTACAACATTTATTGTTTTTACTTTATATTCTATGTGTGTGCATGTGACGGGGAAGGTGTAATAGCACTCTGTCTATCATCTGTTTTCGTAGTAAGTGCTATAACATCTTCTACAACAACCATTTTGATTGATCTATATGTGTTGATTATTTTTATTGGTGATTTCTGCTACACTCCATGTTATATTTCAATTGGTATCAGAGAAGTTAAACTTAATTTTATAGCTTGATCAAATCATTAATCATGGGATATATTCAAGAAGGAGCCAATGTTTTCAGACCTCCTTTGTTATGCGACTATGAATATTCTTTTTGGAAGTGTTGCATGAGAGCCTTCGTAAGGTTTTTTAGTGGACATGTTAGAAAAAACATAGAGCATTGATGGTCAGTCCTTAGTATGATTGATGGAGATGAAGAATTGATTCCAAAACCTTATGAAAGATATACCAAGAGTGAAAAGCAGTAGAATCCAATGACCAAGCTTTGAATGCAATCTTTGGAGCACTTGATAGAACTCAATTCCGCCTAATCTCAAACTATACAGTGGCCAAGAGAACATGGGATATCTTGCTTATTACTCATGAAGGCACTGAAAATTATTGCCTCCCACGATATAGTTGCATCTATGGTGCCTTTTGGCTCTCCCTTAGGCCTTCTCATTTTCTTTGTCTTCTTCATTATCCAGCCCAAGATGCCTCTTATTCCTAGATGTCCCGGATCAAACTGGCCACTTGGTCTTCCTTTCGTTTCCAAACGTGGTTGCCCCCTAGTTCTCCTTCCCCTCCTCAACTCGTGCAAAGCGCGAAAGGTGGCTCCTCTGTATTAGCTTCTCTAATTCATCCCTTAGTGTATAACAATCATTGGTATTGTGATCATTCTTACGATGATACTCACACCATTTTCTCGTATTTTCCACCTCCATCACTTTAGTGGACTAGGTTGGTTCTGTGACCAACCCTTCCTTACCACCATAGTCCAGTATCTTCCCCATGGTTTGGGTGAATGAGGTTAACTTCTTGATGTTTGGGCGAGTTTTCTGGTCTGGACATTTCTTTGGACCAGCAAGGAATCCCTTTTCCTTAATCTTTCCTTTCTTGCTGCTCCATATTTTGATGTCTTGAGGCATCTTTTGGCTCTTCGTCCCTCTCCTCCAGGATAGCATATCTATCTGCCCTCACCATGGATTTTTCAAAAGATTCTGCCGGATGGGTGGTCGGATAGGCGTATAATGGACCTTTGAGGAGGGAAGCTGCAAACATCGCTTGGTGGGACTAATCATCGGCTCCTTCTACCTCCCAGGACTCTTTCCTCCATCTCGCAAAAATTTCTTCAAGGACTCACCATTCCTCTGTCTCACAGAGGCAAGGTGTGTGAAGTGTTTCTTGGGTTTGGAACTCCTAGTAAAATACTCCATGAACCTGGTTGCCAAGTCCTTCCAGTTATCAATGCTCTACGGAGGAATAAAATCCAACCAAGTGTCCAAGCGGCGAGAGTGCTTTCTATTGGTTGAAGAAAATAGCGACATATGAGATGGTTTTCAAGCCATATAGCCTGCATGTTGTTGTAGTAATATCTCCAATGCTCTCCTAGATCAGTTTCTCCATTATACCTTTTTTAAGACGAGGCCTTAAACCCCATAGCGTATGGGCAGGCCATAATCCTTCGTAAAAAGGGGGTATCTTCCGACAGTCCCAGCTTACGGCCCTTTGGGGCATCAACCTTCAACTACAGTTTCTCAATCCTTCCATGGAGATCCTTCATTCCGGAAGAGCGTTCCTCTTGGCCTCCATTAGGGTATTGTGTTTCCTGTGCCCATAGGGCACTTTGCACTTTTTCATCCTTCTTTTGGGTGCCTACCTTTCATCTAAAGGATCTAGCCCTGCTCTGAATATGCCGGCTACGAAGCTGAACAACTGTTGGATTCCTCCCTAACCTCTCCTGGACCGGTACGCAAAGAATCTCAGAGACTCCATCACCTCAGACAGTCACCTCCGCATTATGTAGCTGGTTTAAGTCTAGGACGAAAGGGAATGGGGACCTATTCGCTTCTAGGTCAGCATGCAGATTTGCCGTAGCCTTATCCTACCTTCACAGCCTCCTGCATACTGCATCCCCTTGGTCTAGCTAGGGTCCACGCGTAAAGTGGTTAACTCGAGTTCCCAGATAAGGGCAACAAAGATAGGGTGGCGAAGTCACCATCATGGGCCAAACGTTCTGGCTCCTACAGAGCCCGCTCCATCCTGGCCCATTCATTATATTTCCTAATCCGTTTGTTTTCTGCCTCCTTCTCATCACACTTTTGGAAATATGCCATCTAATCTACCATGAATTCTTCCCAATCTAGGGATGGCCTGCGAGTCCGCAACTCTTTCCGGACAGCTAATGAATCGTCTAGGATCGGAGTGGATGACAGACCAAGCATCCGATCCATTTTGTCCAGAACGTGGGTTAACAACAACGCTATTTTGTTCATGGTCGCTTCCATCAGGTTTGGTTGGTCAACCATTTCCATGCCATTTGCAGATGGAGGTGGAATGACGGCACACGACTGAGCCATTGTCACAGGAACCTTAGTACTCTTTCTTGTCTTTCTTCCTACCATGCTCGGGAACATTCTTGAATGTTCTCGGTTGGCTCCAATGAAAGGTAGAATTTAATTCCACCGAGTATCATACTCACAGATCTCTCTATAATTATGGAAATAATATTGAAGAAGATATAAGAATATTGAGCTCAAGAATTGGAATGAAAGACCTTGGATTAACTGATCTCCTTGGAAAATATTTATAACTTCATAAGCTTTCTAATCCTATTAGACTTCTATTAGGATACTTAGAGCATGTGCAGTGACAAGGAAGAAGGATGCCTTGCACTGCCACATCAGCTTTTTCCACTCTTATCATGGCATGGCATGGCATGGCCAAAATACCTTGCTTGGTGAGACATGAGTGTGGCACTCCATCCTTCCTTTTTCTTTTTTTTAAATAAATTTTTTAAAAATTTTTTATGAAAAAAAATGTACAAGAATGTAGAATAATTTTTTAATAAAATAAATAATAAAAATACTTTTTTTATGTTTAAAAAACATAAAAAATGTAAAAAAATGATAAAAAATAATGGCTTGCCATTGTAGAACTTGTCACTTCATACACTTGCCACACGCTGACTGGACCATTTTTGATTGGTTAAAATGTTCCATGTCACCGTGTGGCATTCCATTTTCGCCTTGCCATTGTTCAT